GGGGGCGGGGGAGAGGAGAGAGGAAGAGGGGGGTTAGTTTTAGGGGGTGAGGTGGGTAGTGGGATTGAGATTGGATTGGATTGAGTCTGGACTAGGTTGATTTTTTGGAGGGATATGGGGGATGGGAAGGATGTTTGGAAGGGGAGTGATTCTAGTTTTGGTTCTGGTTTTGTTCTTTTAGGAGTTGAAGGGCTGGTTAGAGTGGTGTTTTTCTCTTCTTCTTTTTTTTGTGCTTTAGGGGTTTGGTGAGATTGGGGATGGGGTCAGAGAGTATACACGCGTGAGAGTTTTGGGGCGTGGTTTTTTTGATTAGAGTGTGACAAGTGTTAAAATTACAAGACTATTAGGTGTATTCTTGGTAAAGAAATCATTTATTGATACTTAGTTATCGTATCTTATCTACCTAACCGAAAGAGCCCGCATGATACTTGGAAATCATATCTACCCCAGGAATCGCAAAGCTGAAGACCAGATCTTGAGATTTTCCTATTATGCAACCTTCGCACTTTTCCCTCTACATGTCCTACGTTAAGAAAACCCTTCCGTTTTCTTTTCCCTTCATCACAATCAATCCCAAGCAAAGTCTCCAAGCTCCTAAACTCGCTTATCGTTCGCCTTCGCCTTCGCCTTCATCTCCAACCGATGACCCCGAGCTGCACGATAACCTCGAGCGTGCTCCATTAACTTCTTTGCCTCCTTGCCAATAACTCGTGCCTGCTCCCTAAGCTTCTTCATCTCCTCCAGTTTCCGGCCCTCCGCCTCCTTCATCCCCAAGAAGCCATTCTCGAGTGATTTGATGGACTCTGCACAAGTCTCAATTGTAGAATTTTGCTCCTTCATCGCGGTGATCTCCTCGTGAAGGCTGCGAACGGTGCTGGTGAGCTTGTCGTTTTCGGATCTGGAATTGCCGTATGCTCGTCGGTATTTCTCCAGTTTCTGACTTAAGGAGGCGTTCTCATCCTGGAGGGAGGCGGTGTTGTCGTTTAGTTTTGCGAGATCCTCTTCAAGGTCCGTCATCTCACGTTCAAGGGTGTCTTTATCCTCCTTCAACATGGTAATACCTGTATTGAGCTCCTTCAACCTAGCGAAATGGGCAGTTTGGAAAGCTTGATGCTCGGCGTTCAGAGCAGTGATGCCTTCCTCCAAGATGGTGTTTCTTTCCTCCAACGAAGACTCGATGCTTTCCAAATCAACGACATGCTGTTGGAGACGTTGCTTGTCGGCTTCGAGAATGTAGTTGATCTCTCTCAAAGCAGCGTTTGACTCCTCGAGAATGTCGTTTCGTTTTTGTAGCTCGTTGTTGCTTTCCTTCCAAGAGGTACATTCTACCAAATCAGCCTGCAAAACCTCAATCTGCTCTTCGAGAAGCAGTTTATCATCTGCCGTGGTTTCGTACATATATTGAAGGTCATCGCGGTTTGCGAGCGTCTCCAAGTTGGATCTCTCAAGATCGCTATTAGCAGCCTCGAGGATGGCGACTTGCTGTTGAAGGGTGTCGTTCTCGGCTTCCAAAGTAGCCTCTGCTGCTGTGAGTTCATCATGAAATTGGACATCGTATACTTTGCCATCTCTGATCGACTCCTCGAGATCTGCAATGCGCTTCTCCAGCTCAGCCTTCTCCTCCTTGATTTCTTCGAGGCCATTAGCATTCTCATAATATTCAATGGATGCTTTCCGAGGCTCCTCATTCTCTGATACCAGAGCCGTGTTGGTATTTTCCAAAACCACGTTGCGCTCCTTAAGACTCTCATTTTCGTCTTGCATGAGCTCACGAGCGAGTGTCTGGTCTACGTCCAGCTTGGAAACTTCTTGTTCCAGTGAAGCAGTACGCTCCTTCAATGCCTCCAACTCGGCAACGCGATCTTGAGTCTCGGTTTGCAAAGCGGTGTTTCGGGATTGCAAGGTGGTGTTGAGTTGCTTCAAAGTCGTATTGCTGACTTCAAGTGAAGCATTTGTCTTCTGAAGCGTGGCATTTTCCTCCTTCAACTCGGTGTTTTGGCTATCCAAGGAAGTGTTGGATTGTTCTAGGGTGAGCTGGCTCTTCTCTAAGTCTGCGAGGTGTGTTCGCAGAGCTTGGTTAGAGGCTTGGAGATTCTTCTCCTTCTCGGCGATGGGGTTGTGGCGGACCATGATGGCTTAGTTGAGAGTACTTTGTGGATGACTGAAGATGAGGTATCCGGTCAGTATTCTTGATCAACCTTTTGTCTCTTAATGTCTTCTGTGTGTTGTAAAAAGGTCAAGGAATTTTACCCGGACAAGTACCCTAGGGACTTCTAATCTGATGCGCAAAACGGTCTTGAGATTATGGAAGTCAATGTGTATGTAGACAAGTATTGACTTTTCTTATTGAAGGTCAAGAAAGTTGGGTTGGAAAAGTAGGAAGACGGTTCTTTGCAGCAGGTTGAGGGAGTATTTGAGGGCGCAGGAGTACAAGGGTGAGCCCACTGGACAAGCTGTAATTCACTTCTATTTTGTATTCATAATGGGAGTCACTTCTGAAAGGGGAAGCATCCCTAGAAATGGGCGTTGGTCAGAGGTTCCTATTGTGACTCAATGTCAATTTGTTATAGTTTCAAACTCGCTTATTTGTATGACTTTTACTAGGTGAATTTGGCGATGTTCACTCTAGAACCTGGTAATTCTAGTCTTGAAGGAGCACGTGAGATAATTCACTATTCAAAGCATCTCCAAGCTTTCAAGGGGAACGATAGAAATAATTACTATTACATATTTCTTTAGTTAAAAGGCTCATCGTAATAAGGGGTAAAAGCTATAGTAATCTCTTGTATTATCGTTTCTCTTTGTCAGTCTAGTAATTAAGAACAACTACCCTTACTTCTTCTAATTATTAGACACAATTCGTAACTAAAAATCAAGTTAAGTAAATGAAGTAATTAGATATCCTTTAACTTGACTTAATTTAATTACTCGAAATAATTAGAATAATAAAATAGTTCTAGAAAAGCTATATAAAAACAAGAAAATTCTTTATTTGAATGATTTGGAAATATTAGAATAATAATCCAGATTTTGGTGGGGTCTCTATATGAATATTTAGGTAGGAAAGAACTCTCGAATACTCTCGTTGCTCTAAATATACCCTCTAGGTTAGCGTACCTCTTGCACGTATCTGAGAAAGAAAAACCATCGATTAATCGTATCCGGCTTTTAATATACCAAAGTAATCTAGCCTAGTGTTATTATATCGGTCGCCAAAACGACATAAATAGGTAGTAAAAGCCGAGGAATTGATTTGCATAGCGTGTAGAAGACTATATTAACGAATCGAAAGGAGTAATACTGTAATAGTCAACGAATTTCGACAGGTAAGCGATGCTCTGGTTTGGAAGACATGTTTGTCGCAGAGTATTTATAGCAAGAAAAATACTGCGACTAGCTTAGGAACATGATCAAACTGCTTCTTACTTTGAACAGCTCCCTGTATGAACAGAGGTTCTTAATCTAGGTGTTATTTGCGTAAACATTTGCACCTCTTTCAAGTGCTCTATTCGAAATCTCCAAAAGAAAACTCATTAGCAATTTAATATCCAACATCATCCACATACTCACTTCCCCAACCTCCACATCCCATACCCATACCAAAAAAGCCACTTCCAAACAGAAAACGGCAACACCTCCTCCAAAACCCCCCCAACCCTACACCACCCCNTCCCCCTCCCAAACCACATCCCCAACACCACCCCGCACCAACCTCCCCACCAACCGTCCCGCAAAAACCCCCGGCTCCATCCCCGTCCTCGCCGCAATCCCCTGACGTTCCAAAAACCCATCCTCAACCGGCAAAAAAACACTCCCGTCCCCTAACCTCGTTCCCGCTTGCATAATCCCCGTCCTTACATTGCCGGTTTGCACATACACAACGTGTACACCAAAGGGCGCGAGTTCGACACGCATACACGCGCTGTAGGCGTACAGCGCGGCTTTGGTCGCGCTGTAGACGCCGTTGAAGGGGAGGGGGTGTGCCCTGCTACCGAGCCGATGTTGACGATGGTTCCTTTTGCGAGGAGGAGATGAGGGGAGAAGGTTTGGGTTAGGTGCATGATGCCGAGGATGTTGGTTGCGAATAGGGATTGAGCTTCTGACATGTTGATTTCGATTGCGGGGCGGACGATTGCTGGGTGGTTGGTGTTAGCAATTTAGCAGGTAAGAGAGATCGTGGTGAGGATGTGGATACTTTTCCCAGCGTTATTGATGAGGAAGTCGAGACCCCTTCCATTAAGTATCTGTACCGCTTTTTCATGGCAGGCTTTGACGCTTTCGGTGTCGTCTACTATGAGATGCAAACATTCTATGCCTAATTCCTTTAGATCTGTGATTTTCTCGAGTGTTCGTGCTGTGGCGAAGACGAACAGGCCGCGGGAGTGGAGTTCTCTGGCTAGTGCATTTCCGATTCCACCTGGGGTGCAGCTATATGGATGTCAGAGCCTTTTTGGTTGTAGCTAGAAGTTTTAAAGGAGGATGGTGTATTTACCCTGTAACCAGTGCTGTTTTCTGCGGTGGTATCGCCATGCTCGACCACGTTGTGAGGAGTTTGTGTTGGGAGTCTCGAGTGGAATAAACTGTAGTACCAAGAGGTTATGATGTTGGCCGTTGGAGTTGGCACCAAGAAGGCTGCTTGCTACTTATTGTACGCTGCCGCTCTCTCGACTATACGCGAGAAGTTTCGTGAGGTTATGAAGCTGTTGAATCCAACAACCGTCGTCACTTTTCCATCTCGTGGTGTCGTTCGTGAACCATTTTCAAATTCCCCATCTAGGGACATCTTGCGCCAACAACTTCGGCCAACAACACCTCTGTTGGTTCAAACAGTATGCATTGCCCCCCCTGCACCTCCAGTATGCAGCTTTGCGGCAAACATAGTCCGACTAGGATTCGCTTAGAATAGTAGCACGCTAAGCAAATTGATAGTTAGTACTCGTATGTCGCTTTTTTGATACTATTGCTCAAAGTCAGCGAAAGAAGACCTCACAGCAAGAAGTAAGATAAATCAAAATATTCCATTTCTGATTTCTCTCTTAGCTTATTTTTCATCCTCTGCAAGTCCCCCCTTCCCTAAATTCCCCCCCTGTTCTCCCCCCCCAACTTAAAAACCACCCAAATCCCTCCTTAAAATAATCGCAAGTAGAAGCAGAACATATTTGTTCATGACACACATACATCAACACCATAAACTTCGTAAAGAAAAGAAGCTTCCCCCCATCGCTCTTCATCCTAAAATATACAACAATCCGTAAACCCCCNCCCCCCCTAAATATTTAAAAAGTCTCATATCCAAAAAAGTGAGTAAATTCCTCTTCAAATATACAAGCAAAAAACAATCAATATATAGCCAAATTTCAAAAAGCAAAATCAAAAAACGACGCGCAATAAAAACGACAAAAAAGGGTATCAGCCAACATTGCAAGGTGCATCTTCAGCTGCTCCAGCAGGATGAACGTTTGATGAACAATATGTGCATAAGATGGGTGGTGTTCCGTCCATTCAACCAACAGAATGTACAGTTTGCGTTGGGAAGCGGACTCGTGAAAGAATCTCGATCTCTCTTGAAAGAAATAGATGAATTCCATGCGAAGAATTAAAATTTACGTATATCCGGACGTTTTAGAAATACTTAAAGTTGCCATATGTTCAAGTTGAGAATCAGATTTGTTTCGTGACGGTCGGTAAATGTGTTATCCAAAGTGGATATGGCATCAGTCAATGGCTATGCCAATGGCGTACTTTGGCAAGCTTATAGAAGGCATGCTGAGACGAGAGCGAAGACGGCGCCAAAGATCATGGCAGACCCGGAGGAAGAGATCTTGTCTGCTACGCTCTTCTTTGCTGCTGCGTCTGTTGCTGTGTCTGTTGCCGTTGGTTCGGACGCACCATTGACGTTTACTGGGGTGGTTCCAGTGGCTGATGGTTGAATTGCCATTGATGTTACGTTCTCAAAAAGAATATGGTGGTTATTTCTTGCTGTTGGATAAGGAGTTGTGGATGCTTTGGAGCTGGATTTCGATTTTGACGTTGATGAGGCTTTCGAAGAGGAAAAAGAAGAAGAAGAAGAAGAAGAAGAAGAAGAAGAAGAAGAAGAAGAAGAAGAAGAAGAGGAGGAGGAAGAACTCTCCTGGGTGCTGAGTTCTGAGGTGCTAGACTCTGAGCTGCTTGAAGAGCTCGAGCTAGGGGTTGAACTGGGTTCCCCACTAGTCGGGGTCGAGTTCGATGTTGGCTTTTCAGTGGTTGAGGTGGACGATGGGGTTGGTGTCGGACTAGGGGATGGACTAGGCTTAGGAGGCTCCTCCTTGGGCTCCTCCTTGGGAGGCTCCTCTTTGGGGGGTTCGACTGCCTTAATAGTTGGTTTGCTGTCTTTATCATCGCCTTTGGAACCGCCTCCGCCACCAACTGAGAAGACTTCCACGTTTGCAGAGGAGCCTTTGGGAACGGTAACAACGCAGAAGCTCGCACCACCTGCTCCAACGGATTGTTGAGCGCTGGTGACCCCACCCGCGCCATTGACCGTGGGATCGATCGAGCAAGGAGTGCCATTGCAACCTGAACCAGCGCAAACGATTTTGATACCAAAATTTGGGAGAGTCTTGGAAAGATCACAACCAGTCCAGATAGGATTCCAACCAATCTTGATGAAAGTTTGTCCATTGGCATCAGTATTAGCTCCTGCGACGTAAGGAGCCCAATTTCCAATTGGCTTAGTTTCATCACCCCAGACACAACCCTCCTCAGCGCTTACTCCTGGAGCATTGATATAGTAGCTTTGCAACATTAGCAAACGAAATACCAGATTGATCAAAGGGACTTACTGTGCGGCGGTGGAACACCAGTAACTTGGTTCTGGTACAGCCAATTTCCCGAAGCTTGATATATGGGTTGGGATTATCATGGCTTCGTTTCCTGGAAGCACCGTCTGGCAGAAAGCAACACCCGATCCAGCATTGTTCTTTACTCCAATGGTCCCTGAACCGTCAACACAATATGGCTTGTTTGGAAAAGGCTTGGTGACTTTTCCACTCTTGTCACAGAAGAGACCTCCGTTCTACCATATTGTTAGTCAAACACAATGAGCGTTTCCCTTCTACATACCATTGACTGGGGATACGTGTAGGAGGTGGCCGATGGGTCCCATTGTGCCATGACTTGACCCGATGGGCAAGCATAAGGGCAATAGCTGCCTGGCTCACACGGTTGATCGGGGCTCATTGCCCATCCTGCATTCTTTGAACCGGGCGTCACGGCGAACAATCCCGCATCTGAAGGGAATTGACAACTTCCTCCACGAGGCGCCAGTGTCGTCTCAGCACCGTCTGCTCTTGGCGACATGTGGAGTTTCTGATGCTGGTGTCGCTTCACGAAGCGCTCCATATGCGCATGCGACAGACTGCGCAGGCCATGCTTCGCGTCGGTTGGCAATGTCCATATCAAGAGGATGGCGGTGCCCACGGCACTCTTAATATCCAAAAACTTCATCGTCGGATGTGCTCTGTTCCTGTGCTCCCGTGCTTGTTATGCCTGTAGAGGATCGAGAACTCGTACCGACCCCTCGTTCTTCTCCTATTTTGGTGTAACTGGAGGAGATGAGCAATGGAATTACACTATTGTCGCAAACGAGTGACTTGGTGAGTATTGATATTAAATGGGGAATGGTAGTGGTGGTGGTGGTGACTGATAGTGATAGTGATGGTGAAAGTGATAGTGCTGCGGGCAACGAGTGTGGCGGCTAACAGCCAGAGCGAAGAAGAGCAAAAACAAGCAGAAGCAGCGGAAGATGGAGAAGGAGAGGTCGAGGCGGGAAAGAGAGAAGCTTTCTACGGAGAAGTGACCGGGCGGCGACGAGGTCGAGGGTCGAGAAGGCCTCCAAGCCCCGAAAGGGGAAAGCGATGGGCCATCTCCATTGGCCCGATTGTTCATCTGCTTCTCCAGAATTCACCCAGCGACACCCAGCGACACCCTGCCCCCCGAAAAGTACGGAGGATAGACTCTAGAGAGGCCCATCCAGTCCCATCGCAAGCACTTCGCAAGCACTTCTGACCCAAGGGAAATTGCTTCTCATCTCACTCCCTTGCCAGATGGGTCTAGAAGACGTTAAAGTGGGTCGGGATCTAATCGCCGAGCCAATGGCCCGCCTGACTTTGGCGAGGTCACCTGCATTAGCGCGGCACCCACAAATTAACCACATTTGCCAGTGCCAGCAAGCGAATCAACACAACTCGTTAGGAAATGCAGGTGCGCGGCTCTCCACGCTGATCAGGGGAGAGCCGCTTTCTTCCACATCAACAAATATCACTGTCGTCTGGCAATCCCACGCTGTCATCGTTCTGGCTCAGGGATGCTCGAGTAAATCCGGCCTATGTGACGGTCGCCTGTCGCTGATCCAACCGATTTCATGCGCTCTACTCCTTACCAGAGATTACACCACGCCTCTGGAGACCAGAGTAAATTTTCTCTGTACCATTGAGCCCTTGAAGCGTTGGAATGCAGACGCGCCGAGTCCCGGTATGGCCATTGATTTCCGAAAGTTGGGAAGGGAAGATTTGAGAATCGACACTCCAAAATCCGCATGATACGTACGTAACTTTACGCTTCGGGCCTGCTCGTAGATTTTCTGCGAAATCAAGCCTTCGAATTTTTCTATCGATAACCTTAAAGACGATGCTGATACCGGCGTGATGACTCAGGCTTAGATAAGCCAACGTCTTGACTCAACTCCACGACAAAAATATCGATGCATGAACGGCAAGATCGCAAATGTGGAGACAAGCGAGGCCGACCGCCGAGTGAGACGATCTCGATTGTGGCTCTGGGAAAAGGGGGTCCAGATCTCTGCTGACAGACGCAATAGAAGTAAATTGGAACAACCTCTGTTCAAGTGGGACTTGGTACAAATTTGGAGGGTTGGGAATAAATTTGAACAACTTCCGTTCAAGCGGGACTTTGTACAAATCTGGATATTGGGGATGTCTTCATTACCAGCCTTGCTTCGCAGAAGGTCACACCCGCCGCCAGCACGTGCGACGAGAACACAAACTTTGATACACCAAAGAGGGCTGAGAATACACCGAAGAAGGCTGAGACATTGGCAACACAAGATTGGTTGGTACAAGTAAAGTCACGCCTGGGTAATGTAACACAAAGCTCCTTTTGACTGCTTCCGCGGCAAGTTGTGTTTCTCCTATAGGGCTATCATATCTCTGATTTTGAGGTTTGAGCTTCAAGTTGAGGTTTCTATTTGCATATCTCGCTATGGGCATAAGCCTTGGCTACCAGATGCCTCCACCTACTTGATTTCTAAGAAGACTAGAACACGCAAGTCTTGTTGAAGAAAAACAACATTGTGACACCGCGTAATCGCTGGACTTTTCTATTGTTTTTCACGAGAAATTGCAGTTGTATATCGTAATAACATTCTTTTTCTTTGTTCTCTATACACACTAATTTGGCTTCTAATACTTAGTTTCCGCAGCGACCTTCCCTTCTCTTTCAGCCAATGCTGCGTGTGCGGGACTTCGTGGCTTGATTTTCATCGCAAAAGGAGCCCCAAGATGATCCGCCCAGTTAGTTTTGAAAACATCAATAGGTTGATCCTGGATTTTGGTAAGCGACATTCTTTGGGGATATTGAATGCTGTATCGACTTACCTCAACAGCTTCGAACTCGAAACAATAGAGCAACCTCGCAATAGCGATAAAAACATTGGACTCCCCAACGTGATATCCAGGACACACCCTTCGTCCTACAGAAACAGTTAGAATATACCTCACGCAAATCCAGGAAGGAAGGACTCACCAGCACCAAATCCCCAATGTCCCTTCAGAACGTTCTCCAAATCTTCATTCAAAAATCGTTCTGGCCAGAACCGCAACGGCTCATCGTATTCCTCTTCATTGAGAATAATTCCAAAAGCATTCCAAGTGAAAACGGTCCCCTTTGGAAATCGGTATCCTTCATACTCATCGTCTTCAGTCAACATGTGGGGAACCCCAATTTGTGGTGGGGGCTTCCATCGAAATGATTCTTTTGTCACTGCTGTAATATATGGCAGCTGGGCACGATCCGAAACGCTGGGAAGACGCTCTGCGTTGGATCCACAAACTGAATCCAGCTGTTCGCGGGCTGTTTTCACCCAGCGAGGATCAACACATGCCGCCGCCAAGACTTGGGTAATAGCGACACGAGAAGTATCAGATCCAGCTTCTAATAGAGAACCGAGAGAGAAAAGAAACTGTGTCTCGCCAAATTTCTGAGACTCTGGGTTTTTCATGAATTGAAGGGCATAGCAATCGCGAGCTGTTCCTGCTTCGACTCTGGCCTTCAACTCTGCGACTTCACGTTGATAAACTCTTCGAGGGGGTTAGCATCCAAACTCATTTTTCAAATTGAGTATCTCACCTTTTGCATTTCTCCTGGTCCCTCAGCCCTCTGGATCTCCACCACTGCAACCAAGTCGGCAACTTTTCTAGAAATGGCAAAACGTCGACAATATTAGCACCCGGTTGCATCGCATTCAAAATATCTGCGCTGGTCTCTAGCAACTCCTTCGTTTCCGGATGATCCAGTTCCTGTCTCTTTCCAAAAACCACACTCATAACTACACTGTTCGAGTACCTCTGATTCGCTAAACTCCACTTGTCGGGACTGTGCAAATAATCATACAACAGGTGTTTGGACTCGATATCCTGGAAGGATGCGAAGGTTGGTGCGTTCTTGGCGTTGAGGATGGAGTGCATTACTTTTCGAATAGCACGCCAGCGGTCGTTGTAGCCCATGAAGAGGACGCGGGAGGATCCCGACATCAGGGTTGAGGCCATGGGAAGGTGGGGGCGCGAGGAGTAGATGGCGGAGCGCTTTTCGAGGAGGTCTTTTACCACGCGGGAGGAGTTGAGGAAGACCCAGGTTTGGACGCCGAATTTGCAGGTGAACCTATTATTTTCCTTTTGTCAGTATTCGATTATCTCACTTGACGCTTCCGATGATCTATCATTCTTCTTTTTGTTTTTGGAGACGAAGAGGAGGAGTTGCTTACATCTCACCATATTTCATTCTCTTCTCATTCCCCCAGAGTCCTTGGTTGATTGGGGGGAGCTGGAATGTGTTTCCAAAGATTGGAACTCCTGGTATTCGATTTGGAAACTTGTATTTCTTGTTCCAGCGGTAGTTTTGAACTGATTTATACCACACCATGACAGTCACCAAAACAATGACAGCAGTCGCCCATGATTGCTTGCCCAGCGACGACCACGGCGGGAGGGACACTTCGAGGGGTATCATATTGACGATCTGAGCCACTGATAAGCCAAACCAGACTATCGTCTATCGAGTCGATGAACAAGTTCAACCGTCGTTGTGTAAGAAACATCGTGGTGTTAGTGGTGGACGCGAACCTTTTAATAGCGGGGAACAATGTTGGTTCTAAAAAAAAACACCAACCGAATCATCAGTAACAGTAACTGCCGTATGTTAGCCTTCCAGGCTCGATGCGAACACTCTGAAGGCTGCATCAGCCAAGCTGGCCCGGAGTGGGTATTTAGTGGGTATCTATGGGTCCACCAACGTTGTTGCTCTTTACCGACCCCTCCCTCAATGCCTCTCTGGTGTCTCCATTTGGCTATGCACTTCCGCTTTTGGAACCCGGCCGCCATCGGCATTTCTGGAATACCGATCGGACAACCTTCGTTCAACCAGATGGGTGGTTTTCGCACTTGCAGACCGCGAATCGGACACTGCTATTGAACCGAAGAAGTGGTTTTTTTCTCTTACGGCCCTCGATCGGACACTCCTGTCAAATCGAAAGACCGGTTTTCGATCTCCTTCAATATTTAATACTTCAGAACCTCAAATGCGTGGGTTTTTTTCTGGGTCTTCTCGTACCCCGCCAGAATGGCACCTATTTATGCTTCTTGGCTTAGACCTCAAGGCTTGAACTTCTACTTCGGTAGGAACCGAATCTTTGGGGTGGGATAAATATATACTTGGTTCGCTTGCACGCGGCGCACACAGACACAATGTATTGTAAATTACCTTTGTGAAAATATTCCAATAAACCCCCAACATATAAACTCCCTAACGGAGGTGGCTAGAAAAGCTCTATTACATACCTCTAGTCTACCTCCGGAGGCTTTCTACGAGGTATTTTGTTGTAGAGCGGTATTAAGAGGGGCTACTTGTAAGTTTCCTCTTACCTACTATAGGAAATTACGATATACTTCGAAGTAGCATGTGCGAAAGAGGGGTAAATTTACCTAACTAACTTCTGACCGATAAGATAATGTGGAGTTACCGGTAAATTTACTCTGTAAAAACAAGGTAAATTTAATTACCCACACGCCAAGTTGTAACTCTAATTTAATTAGAACAAGGAATAAAGAGATGTATATTTAGCTACCGGTACTGTTAGAGGGTAGATAGGTACTTCGAAGTAAGAGCTGGAACCTTGCAATGGAGGTTGGTTGTAAATTTATATCTTAATCCTGATTTTTCGATTTTTAATTTAACTGAATTAGTGAATGAGAAAGGCGCGTTTTGTGGATATATACTTGTAGAAGGACTTTTGTGAGATGTAGGATCTATGTTATGTGGAATGGAATGCTTTTGTTTGTTTATCTTCTTTGAAGTTACGCCTATTTCTATATTCCTTCTAGACACTAGACTGGACTGGCTACTGGAAAGGCTGTTAGAAGTAAAAAATGTGCACTGGAAGTGGAGTATAGTAGAAATACTTGGTACCCATTTTCATAATGTCTCCTCTCCGTAGGATTAATCGTTTGGCCTACGATACCAGATCACGTTTCCGTGAGTCTTAGTTTGACACTGTAGGCTGTTGGCGTATCCACTTCGAGCGCACGTACGAAGTATTTTTATATATTATACCTTTTTCGGGAAGGGATGGAGGCTTTTTTATTGTTGATTAGTAAGCAGAGTTTGTTAAAGGATTCATGGGAGGGCAAGTGCAATCTCAGTATAAGAGTCCCAGACGATCCGGGGAACGAGGAATATATCACCATCGAGACGAGAGGATTGTACTAGATTGGGGGAAGTGGTGTGTTCTGAGAAAGTCTAGGTATTTTTTGAGGATTGGAGCTGGTGAGTGTGGATGTGTTTGGAGTAGGCTTTTTAATTATACGGATTTGAGGAGGTATGTGGGAGGGTGGTTTTTCTTTGGAGGAGGGAGGGATTGAGGGGTGAGTGCGAAAGTGAAGATGATAAGAGGGAGATTGTTGTAGGTAATTGTAGGAGATGGTTGCTAGATATGTAAGGATAATGTAGATAGGAATGGGTTAAATGCGAATTTTAAAAAGACGTCTGGCTTATATGCGCCTATTTTCCGATGCGGATGCGATTAGCGATTAAGAATAGAGATACTCGTAGTAGTAGATGAATTCATTAACACGTATGTCGGACGGCGATTATACTTAAAAGCAACATTTGAGGATCATAGATAAATTATAATCATAATTTCTGAAGGCGTTGAAAGGAAACAAGTCTTTTGAATCAAATATCTATGATAAAGAGGATGAGATATCTATGATAGAGAGTAGGTAGAGGGCTCTCTACGTATGAAGTTTAAATTTAGGTAGTTAAATACCTAGATGTGCTACTCGACTAATTAAGCGAGTCAGTATGTGACCCCATGTGACTAGTACCGTGACACAATTGAAATTTAAGTCTAGATACTAGAAGCATTATCTAATATCTATATACAAAGTTAATTTTTAAAATGGACTAGAAAACCTGGTTTTGGTTCGAGCATGATTATATTTTAAGAAGCCGGCGAACCCTCAAGTGCCGGAACGTGGATCAGCTTTGGATGCATTTCCTGATGTTACATACTGTTATTAAGTTCCACAGCAGGAATGGATCGGTAGTTAAAGCCGGATAATAGGACTAGATGTTTTAATTAATTACTCGTTATTTAGCCATGAATATCCAAACTGTTGAACGTGGTCGTGTTTACATAAGAGAATGATCAAATTCTTCTCGAGCTTAACTTCTATTTCGAACCCAGACCAAAAGACAGAACCTAACCTTTTGACCCTATCGACAGTGATAATTACCGAAGGTTGAAGAAACTTGAGGTGTCGAAAAAGTTTTCATGGCGTTTTATTGGCGGCGGTCTTCCTGTGGCTCGCGCGCGCTCACTGTAGCCTTTCGCAGGCAATCGTACTGTATATGTCAAAAGACATTTAATGAAATCCTTGTGACTCGCTTACGGTTCTGGAAACGGCAGAATCGTCGATTTGTACGGAAAACATAAAGGCCCCGCATTACTAGTTAAGTTGTAACCATAGATAGCTGCCACGCTACCCCACATTGTTACTCAAGTTAACTCCATATCTATGAAGTACTACACTCTGAATAATTGACTAGGCATTGAAAAAAGACTCTTGATAAGGACCCCACAAGGCGTGGTTCGTTATGATGAGTGGTAGTTTTCGAGCCAGTATTCGTAGAACGCCCTTTTTTTTAACAACGACAGTTCTGTTTTCATTTCAATATCTGAAAAGGTTGGAGTCTGAAGTCACAATTCCATAGTAACTTCCCAAAAAATGGCGCCCGCAAACAAGATTTCGAAGGTATATGCAAGACTCGTTATGAAAAGCTACCTTGATAACCAGCCCAACAGATTATAATAGTAGGCGCTGGACCCTCCGGCCTCCTCCTAGGCATCCTCCTCTCCAAAGCCAAAATCCAAGTACAACTCCTCGATCAAGCCTCAGCGCTAGACACCAATCCTCGCGCTGCTCACTATGCACCATCCTCAGTGCGAGAACTTCGTCGGGCTGGTGTCCTCGAGAAAGTCCAAGCAGAAGGCTTCCGTCCAGCAGGTGTATGTTGGCGCACTGTGGACGGAGAGATTCTCGGTGGCATCCGTGCGGATTTAAGTAACGAGGATTCAACTGTTTGCTTGCCGCTCGATTTGTTTGATGAGATTCTTTTGAGGGAATTTGAGGGGCAGAGATGTACGGAGATGTTGTGGAACCACAATGTTGTGGGTGTTGAGCAGAGTGAGGGGAAGGCGAGGGTCAAAGTGCGGACGAGGGAGGGGGAAAAGATCCTGGGTGCGGATTATGTTGTGGGTTGTGATGGCGCGAATAGTACTGTGAGGAAATGTTCGTATGGTGATGAGTTTCCTGGTATCACTTTGGAGAGTCAGATTATTGCTACCAATGTAGGTAAATCCTATTCTTTCTTGAAAAGTGGCTGAGGTCTCTAGGTCTATTATGATTTCACCCAATTCAATTACTGGGACTCCCAATTCATTCTCGATCCCAAAGACTGGTTTATGGCCGCAAGAATCACTAGAGATGGAATGTGGAGAGTTACTTATGGCGATGTTCCTGGCCTTACGACCGAAGAATATCTCGCAAGATTGCCAATGCGATATGAGCAAATCCTTCCAGGAAAGCCGAAACCAGGAGATTATAGACTGACGAATGCGAGTCCTTATAAGTTGCATCAAAGATGTGTGCCAAAGATGAGAGTTGGAAGAATTCTGTTAGCCGCCGATGCTGCTCATCTGTGTAATCCTTTGTAAATCTCCTCGTATCTATCATGATTTTTCTTCTGTTGGAAGAAACGTTACTAATAGATGCGTGAAGTGGTGGAATGGGTCTCACAGGCGGAATCGCAGATATAACAAGCCTCTTCGATTGTCTAATCGCTCTCCAGAACGGTCTTACAGATGACTCGATTCTCGACGCTTACTCTGAAGTACGGGTTCAAAAGTGGAAAGAGATCATCAATCCAAGTTCTCTTGCAAATTTCAATAGGCTCTGGGATGAAAATGTGGCAGATGAACGAAAAGAGTTCTTTGAGAGATGTAAAGCTATGGAAGAGGATGAAGCATTGAGGAGAAGAAATATGGCTGTAAGTATATTGTTTAGGTCTTCATTGGCTTCTGTGGTTATTTACTGATTTTCAGCCAGAATTCTTATATCTTGAATGACGATATGACGCCTTACTTTAGAAAACCTGTCAGTGGTTGAGAATAAGTGGAACCGGGTCTCTTTCAAGCCCTATTCGTATGGGGAATTTAATGGGCGGCGACTGACTGGAATGTCCCTATATTAGTTAATGAGAACTCGGATATCCCTGACTTTGACCTAAAAGACTAGCTTGCCCTCTGTTCGTCAATATTTCCTTAAATAGGAAATTTTATACTTACCATTTATTTTTTAGTGTCTGTTGTTCTATCCTCGAGTAATCAACAACATTGATCTACAAATCTGGAATTAGCAGTAAGGAAAATACTAATTCTGACAACCTAGAATAATTAGAATTACAAGTTGAATTACTGTATTATTCCAAAACAATCGAAGATATTAACTTGAATCTTTGAACTATTTCTTAAGGAAAAGGGGCATTTTGGTCTTTTAGGTAAATTTGGGGACATCTGAATGTTTGAATGGTGTTTAAATGTTTACACAGGGATATTCTAGTCAACTGCAATTTATTGGGGGCTGAGGAGCAATCTAGTTCGGGGTAGCCTCCACAGTCTTTGAGCGTGTTTTATTTTTTAACTTTCCCGGATATGCAGACCCTCGTGCAAGTATCCATAAAAGAGTCTCTCTGATATGAGAAATTTAGATTGAAAGTACGGTGTTTCCTCTCTGAAAACCTCAAGACACATTTCCCTTTGAATCCCAATTCAGTTGATAATCATCTGATTCAAGTCCCGCCTCAGTTTTCTTCCAAATATCCTCAATCATTCTGGCGTATTTCTGTGACCTTGGCTCGATTGTACACTCGAACGGCTGGGGGATAATTAACCATCCCGGTAACGATTCTGTTGTCGGCTCGATAACATTCCCGTCTTTTCCAATCTTCTTCTTGATGTTGAAAGCCCATAATATCCGGCTGATATTAAGAAACAATGAATTTTCAGCAAGATGGATACCAGGACAAATTCTCCTCCCGGCCCCGTAAGCAAAATGATCTCGCGTATTGGGATCAGCGGTATTAACGTAGGAAAAAGCCGGAAGTGGATAATCGAGATATCGTTCCGGTCTGAACTCATATGGGCTTTCCCATCGCTTGGGATCATACTGCATAGCCCTTTTTCATCTTAGCGAGAGATTGAGAACAACGAGAGGGAAGAATACATACCACCAGTTCAACATAACTAAGGCTCCCTTTGGAATAAAATACCCATTATACCAATCGTCCTCAATAACAGAATGCTGCATGCCAATTTTATTCGGCGGTCTCACCCTTAGCAACTCTTTAATCACCGCGCGAATATATGGCAACTCGTCCCAATCCTCCCAAGAAGGATATCTATCGCTCCCAACCACACGATCCAGCTCTTCTTCCTGCCCCTTCTTCACAACATCCGGGTACAGAATGACCATCAAGAGAAAATTGTTCAAAGCAGCAGACGTCGTCTCAGCTCCAGCTTCAACAAGACCACCGCACCCATACGCGCATTGCAGAGTATCCAAACCCAATTGCTCAGGCTCATTCTCAGCAAATTCCTTCGCGAAACAATCTTTCGCCTTCCCTTCCTTAATCTCCTTTTTTAGCGAGTTCCAGAGTCCCAAGTAGATCGGCGCGTCATGCTCAAAACACTTCTGACCAAAGCTCTTCCATTTCCCAAAAAACACCTCCGGAAACGCAGTTAGTGAAGGAAAAGTATCGACCATCCAAGTCCCCGGCGATGCGAATTGTTGTAAATTATTTATCACCTTATAGATCTGATCCGCCAGCCCATTATTCCAATCCGGGATCCGATGGCCATAAGTAACACTGATAATAACACTTGCAGAATACCTCCTATTATGGTCATAAAACCGTTCCGGGGTTTTCAACAGGTCAAAAAGTAACTGTTTGCTCTCTAAATCCTGCACGGGTCTGTACCCCGCACTCTGCGTAACATTCAAGCAAGTATGGCTGATCTTCCGCAAAGCCCGATATTGCGGGCCGTAAGGAAGATATAATTGTCTTCGTCCTGCACTTGCTGTTTCGCCCGCTAAAGGTGTGCGAGGACGCGAGGAGTAGATGGCGGATTTCTTGTCCATGAGTTCTTTGACTGCGCGGGGCGAAGAGAGCCAGATGTAGTCTGCACCTCCGATTTTGGTGTGAAATATTTCGCCGTATTTTTGTGTCCAGGAAATTGCTAATTCGCGCACTTTGTCGGGGTCGGCTAGGTCGAAGAAACTACCTATGAAGGGAAGACCGCGTGGACCAGGGGGGAGATGCCATCGTCGCCGGTCCGTGAGGATTGTAGGAGTGGTGTAGAGATAAAACATGAAGAATAGGACAATAGGGCTTATGATAGTCGTGAATATTGCAAGTTGGTGCGTCGGAAGGAGGAAGAAGTTTGAGGTTCCCATTTTGCTTTCTGATAGTTTCGCTGGTAAACGGTATATTTCTAGACTAACAGTAGAGCTGCCATAACTTTGTCTTTGGTGTATTCAATTCAATTCTTGTTTTTGGTTGTATTGGGCCCTCATATACCCCCCCACTTCACGCTGATATCAGATTATCATTTGGTGATACCATAATATATGCAAGCCCCACACAGCTTCTGTAGCAAATCTTTTCCGAATGCAGAGTAAAGTCTAGAAGGGATACAGAGAGGTTTTGTACTTCCGTAATAAAGACTCAAAATCTAAAGCAACAAATTCGGCCCCTGTTCAGTCAACAAAGTCAGCCATCTGCTAAGACCAGATCCGTAAGATGAACTATTAACATGATTTTGCTACTGATTTTGGCTGATCAACAGGACTCAAGGTTGCAAGAGGTGATCGGGCGAAACTCCCAAAGTAATCGCTTTACTCTATAATTCGAAGGCAGCTTGTTCGAGTCCCTTCTCTTAGGCCTGGAAGAACGTCTTGATATTTTCTCTCATGGTTCAATTACAGGTACTCCTAACACTTCAATGAGTTACATAGACCAAGCTCCCGGGGAACTAACGCAATGAAATTCTCATCAGCGTTGGCCGGAATAGCGGAACTATAGACCTTTCTGAATGGGGATTAATTTTTACGTATACGCCAGTACAAAAATAGAATTGAGTGGCTTAACTTCAAAAGTAGTTTAGAACTCGAATGGACGAATTATTCCTCAACTTGGAACTTTTGAATCGAGTTGATAACACAGTATCAGTGAGGTAAATTTTGGTCTTCGCAGTTACAGTCAAGCGAAGAAAAGAAGAACGTGTAAATAGCGTTCGACATATTGGATTGACATTCTGATAACGCTTCTTATAACTAGCCTCAACCCTATGAGTTAATTTGAAGAAATAATCGTAACCATGACCTTGCCCATACCTTGGCGAACCCAGTCTTTCACTTGAGAACAGGAGAAAAAGCAAGCTGTCAAACATATAAAATTGCTTTTGATAGCCTGGTAGGGCAAAACCTGGCTTCCAATAATCAACCACACTTGGAGAGGAAAGTTAGAAGGCCCAGAGACACTTCTTAGTCGTTGAGGCTTCAGGCTAGGACTTTCCCACCCCCACGCTACCAGAGCATCGTTTCCCTGCTGCTGAAAAGGGTCGGGCAAGCTCAAAAACTCGACCCGGCTAAACAACATTGAGAGCAGGCCGGCCTACGGAGGCAAGCTCTGTCATCGGCGACAAGCTTAGGAAAGTCTCAGCCACAATCCCTACTACATCATTTGGGATTTCTGCCTTTCTTTTGGTCCTAATTCCTCCACCATGACCAGGAAAATTATTCTCACAGAACCGCACGAGTGATTAGAACGTAGCTCCCGCTTACTCTGTATTTTGTCAAGGTTTTAGACTTCGGTGTCGTGCATGCGGGGTACATACATTAGAACCCCTCATCGCGAAAATCTGTCCACAAACAAGCATTGGCACCGGAAGAAATCCCGTGCGCTTTTTCAGTTCGTCTATCCTCTTTGGTAAGTTGTGCCGTGAACGTAATTGTACATAAAAGGGAGACGGGAAGGGATGCTTTCTTTTTCGAGTTGCAACCATTGATACGCGGTCTTTTCTTAGCGTTGTTATTGTTTCCGGTACACTTCCTTGTGCTTTACGAAATGCGGCCTCATACCTCTTTACATGTAATACTCGCAGCTGGTGTCGCCGTTGACGCTAAAGTATGGGTACCTAATTTCAAGAATTTGGTGACTTTTGGGGATAGGTGAGGAAGGATATGAGTTGGTCTTGTAAGCTTTAGGGCTGACCTTTTCCCCCAAATTAGTTACACAGATGAGAATCGATTAAGCTACTTTTTGGACAACGGAGTTCCACCACCAACGGGGACTCTCCTTCCCCCGAATAATGATACCGCGAGTGGGGGGGTTACATGGGCTCGGATCGTGTCAACCGACACTGGGACAAAATTGTACAACTACGCCGTCTCTGGGGCGGTCTGTGACAACAAGATTATAAACCGATGTCTGGATGGCATTAAAGGACCGTTCCCAGATGTGGTTTACGAAGTTGACGCGTTCGTGGCGGACGCCAATTTTGTCAACACAACGACCAACAGCAACACATTATTTACTGATCGACAGTCTGACAACACTGTGTATTCAATCTGGATCGGAACCAACGATCTGGGGGTACAAGGTTTCTTAACTGATAGCTCCTTGAACGGAACAACCATTCCAGATTATGTCGATTGCATTTTCGATAAATTTGATATTCTTTACCAGAATGGTGCTCGATATTTTGTATTGATGAATACTGCACCACTGGAATTATCGCCCCTCTACGGAATGCCAGAGGCTGGAGGTCAAGCCGTTAGTGTCAGATACTGGCCAGACAAGGCAAGTAGCCATATATATATATATATATCTTATCCACACTTTCCACCCCCACCGCATCTACTAACCTCGCCCAAGCCCTCAAACACCAGCGAAATCAGCGGCAAAATGAAGGAATACACCAAACTCGTAAACGACATCTTTAATTACCGCACCCCCTTTGAGATTTTGGTCCAAAAACGATATCCAGATGCTTCAATCGCGGTATTTGATGTCAACACTTTGATGACGGATATCTATTACAACCCAACACAGTATTTTGCTGCTCCAGCAAATGTTACGGGGCAATATGAACTTTGCGAGGACGGGAGCGGGAATCATTGCGTAAACTCAAATGGGACACTGGATCAGTACTTTTGGCATGATGAGTTGCATCCAGCCTTGTTGACGGACGATGCTATTGCAAAGGAGTTTGCTAAGGTGGTTGAAGGGACGAGTGTTTATGCTAAGTATTGGTAGATTATGATTACAAGTGCCCATGGGAAATGTAAATAGAGGTTTTCATATATGACAGTCTTTTCTGATAGTTGACATGTCATGGTGTGAAGGCTGTGGTCGTTCTAGATTCCAAAATAGTTTCTCTAAAAGTATATCATTTGTGAATTCGTAAAGTCTTTATGTATAGTAATCTGTTTGAATATCTCAACCCTAACCCTCTCGCGTAATTGAATTGATTGTGCAGGGTTAACAACACAACGGAGGATTTCCCAATTTTTCTCGCGTACTCGTGAGAAACCTTTCTTGAGGTAATAGAAATTTCATCCTCGCTCGCTCTTACTCCGGAGTGAACTATGTGCTACTAAAGTGGAGATCGGCTAAGGTTGTCTAGGTATAAGGCGTGATGATCTCGCTTCGATGGCACTTGACTGCACTGCACTGCATTGCATGCCTTGGTCCATCGTCGAGTACAAGTACCGTATCACATTATTTTCCCCATTTATTACGGAGACATAGGTAGAGAGTGCTGTAACGCCGACCCTTGAAATCGGTACCTACGCGAGCTACGCGAACATGGGCGTACTGGGACCATTCGGCTCTCACGCCAATAGCTCACGCCTCTCTTCCAATTAGCTTCACGTCATCCCTGTCGCTGCTTGGCTCGCCTGTCGCCCCCCCGTCATTCTCTCACCAAATTAGCGCTGTTGTCCACCACATACTCCGTACCTACGCCCACGCCTATGCCTACCACCCTACAGTACACCACAGTCGCATTTCTCTACCAACCCACGCTCGCGGCTGTTGTCTCTCACATTTCCTCGTGCGACTCGGGACGAGCCATGCCGATAGGCACCCTCCGAATCTGCCATGTATGATCCGTACGGCTTTCGCAGGGAGACTCCTTCAGCACAACATCAGCACCAACAACAGGCTAGCAGCGGAGGCAGCAGCAGCAGCAGCTTCATCCCCAATGCTGCACCTCTGACATCTCATCACCCCCACCACCCACAGCTCCAGCAGCACGTCCAGCATCCTCACCAACCCCTCCAGCAACCAGGTCAACAGGCGCAGGCGCAAGCTCAAGCGCAAGCTCAAGCGCAAGCTCAAGCGCAAGCTCAAGCGCAGCACATGATGTATAGCACGCCCTCTTATGGCGGTCCTGGTCCTCAGAGCTCCCACGCCCCTCCTCATGCCCCCTCACCGGGCCCTCATCAGTCCCCCTATGCCGCCTCAGGTCCCTCGAGCATGGGGGGTCAGACTGCAGGCGGTGGAATGGGGATGGGGATGATGCAGAATAACGGTATGGCGCATACGGCTCCGGTCCACGGTATGTAACACACCTTACTGAACGGTTGCGCGCAAGAGTTTACCTGCCAACTGCTACCTCTGCCCTATGCCAATCTGAAGTCGGAGAATTAAGCGTTGCGCTCTTCCTCCGTTGTCCTCCTCTTCCCCTCCTCGGCTCGATCGAGGAACACCAGCGCGATACCCGGTGCTACCGCATCGAAGCAGGCAAGAGCCCGCTAGCAAGAAGTGCCTAGAGGCTCTCCGAAGACAGCAGCATGTTGAGCTTTCCCTCACGTTCATCTACACTTGCCGACGGCCGCCTGTTGGAGCTTTACGTGCCTATCGAGCAAGCAAACAAGTGCTGACATGTATTCTCAGCAGTACCAACGGCTTATCAAACACCATATTCCAGCTCCCCCTACGGAGCAAGCATATCAACCTCTTCCCCATCCAATACCCTTCCAGGCTTCATGCCACCAACCTCCAACGCACCATCCTTTCCAATGAACCATTCGAATATGAATACGAATATGAATATGAACATGAATGCCCAACAGCAGCAACACCAACCTCAGCGCATGCAACCTCCCCAAAACACGCCCACTCCAACGCCAGGAGCTAATTCGAGAGGCTCACCATTCGCTCCCATGTCACAAAACTCACCTCCTAATCCTAGTTCGACACCCTCCCATATATCCACACCTCAAAATTCGAATGCTACAAACCAAAAGCCCAATAATAATCCGCAATCGCATGGTGGGCCACAGGCTTCAACAATATTGACACCACAAACCCCAAGCTTTCCACCAGGATCGCAAAATGCCGGAAACACTCTGGCTTCTCCTCTAAGTCCCGGATCAGAAGTTCGGGAGAAAGACCGGGTTGCAATATTACTGGAGATAAATCGGGAACTTCTGATGGAGTGTATGCACATACAGGGATTACAAGCGGACATGAAAAAAGAGGAGCAAAAGGATAGTAATGGTTCTGCGGATCCTTCGAATTCGGCTGGGCCCGATAAGGAAAAGAACGAGAAATTGAAGGCTTCGGTCACCAGGGAATATGTGGAGTGAGAGGTCCAGAACCGTATTGATTTAACTTGCAAACTAACAGAACTCAGATGTATGCGACGGCTTCAAGCAAACCTGGCGTATCTTGCCGCAATCGCAGATCGATCACACAAACCCTCTTCACAGATACCTGCCCATCCCGCAATAATGACGGCTCCATCAATCACACCCAAAGCAACAAGTTCCACTTCATCTGGCGCTGCTGATACTGAAACAAAAAAAGAAGACCTCGAGGAGAGTAAATCGAAGGAATCCGCAAATGAGAGGATCGATCTTCTGAAGGATCAGTATAAGCAGTTACAAGGACTATTCCCAGGTGTGGATCCAAAGAAGGAACCCTCGATGCAACCACCAAATCCAGCTGCTAGAGCACAGCAAGCTGCTCAACAACAACAGCAGCAAGCGTTACAACAAGCGCAGAAGCAGCAAGGTCAACAGCAGGGCCAGCAGCAGGCCCAGGGTCAAACCTCTGATTTCGCTGCACAACAGAGGATGCAGAATGAGATGTTGAGGCAGAAAATGATGCAGGCGCAACATAATCAACAACAACAAATGGCCCAAGCTCAAGCCCAGGCCCAGGCGCAAGGCATGCAAGGCATGAATTCACAGCCACCTCGATGAGGTCATCGCATGGCGTTGGTGGGGTTCTTTGGTATCGAGACTGGAAAAAATATGTCTCTTTTGGCTTGGTGTATGGTTTGAATATCCCCCTACCTGGATAAAAAGTAGACCGGAATTATTGTACTTAAAAGATATTGAAATGAAAATTATGTATCAAGTTCCAAGGAGGTTATAGTTCTGATCCTTTGGGATAATTGGAGGGATGGGCTTTGAATTCTTCGGATAACTATTGAATGATGTGTCTTTAAGTTAGAAGTTCCTCGGGCTGGTAACGAGAGAGGACGGGCAGATTCTGCTATATCCGTACAACGCACGCGTGGAATTTCTTGAATAGGGGGCGAGAGTATAAATTTGGGTTTTAAGGAATGTCTTTTAGATGTCTCCTTATGGTAGCTCATACACAGTAGTTTTTGGCTGCTCCGCGGTAGAGAAGAAAGGAAGTAGTATTCTCGTTATTCTTTTATTATTAATAATACAAAGTAATTTGAGGAACTGACCTATATAAATAGTCACTTTAAATGTAGAAGGTTGGGATAAGAACACAATAAGACTATACTGCCGAGGCTTTTGTTTGAAACAAACATGCTGACTCAAGCTTGTTCTTGTTGTGCTGGCCAACCACCTTCACACATCCCTCAAACAATACAGTAAGCAATTGTACTCGATTTCAACGTAAACCTGCCATAGTATTTAAATTAATGTTCATCTCATATTCTCATTTGATTCCCCTCAGAGACCTCTTATAACGCACCCAACGTCATTCTGGTGCTTCAATTACCCCACCATCCGTCCCGTACAGTACCATATTCAAAACCAAGCCTTGGTGACCTTATTTTTTACCGCCCTATCCGGTGCTCACAAAATCCACCTATCACTGACATATCCAACCTTTTCTAGTCTGTCATCTATGTGAGGCAACCAATCTGTATATGAGTGCCATGGTTCAGCCTCAAAGTTCCAGAACACCTCGTCATCGACGTCTGAGATACGAGGGAGAAGATGTTTCACCGACGACCTCTCGGGAACTGAGGGGATTCTACGCTTATGGACTCGCGGCTGAGATATTTGCTGTTTGTGGTGTTGGTATGTTTATATTTCCGCTTTCCGCAAGAAATATATATATGGCTGACTGCTGGGTCAAGGGTCCTTTTTGCCAGTGACATTGGAGCAATTAGCTCGGGAACGTGGGGTCCTTTGGTCTGATAGGACGACGTCGTGTATGCAAAAGGTTGTTAATAATGCCACCGAAATTGCTGTGAATTCAACATCGGTTGTGCTTGCGAGAGCCGACAAGGATAAGAATAATCAATGTATTGTGTCGGTGTTTGGAACTGAAGTTACGACGTCGAGTTTTGCCATGTATACTTTCTCTATGGCTGTTTTTGTGCAAGCTTTGGCTTTGATATCGTTCAGTTCGGTAGCGGATTATGGTAAGTAGTTCCTTGTCATGGAGGAAGATTCCGTGTTAATTTGCAAAAGGATCCTATAGAAAGAAATTACTTCTGGGGTTTGGATTTACTGGCGCCACTACCTCTATGTTATTCATCTTTGTGGTTCCCCAAATCTTCTTGGTAGGACCGTTACTAGTCATCATTGGAGTAACATGTCTCGGCTCTTCGTTTGTTGTTCTCAACTCTTTTCTGCCAGTACTTGTAGCAAACCACCCAGAAGTCCAACATACAGAGAGCGACGCATATACGATACCTTTACAGCCAATCTCTCGCATAGCACAAGAGCAACATTTGGATTCGGATATCAAAGTTTTAGACTCTCCTTCTTTACGTATATCAAACAAGATCTCTTCAAAAGGAGTCGGGATTGGATACATGGCAGCAGTATGCGTACAAATACTCTCAATCCTCCTTCTATTCATCCTTTCCAAGAACAAAAATATCTCCTCGACTCTTCCACTTCGTCTCGTTCTGTGCATGGTGGGAGTCTTCTGGTTTGGCTTTACGATACCAGCTTCTACCTGGCTTCGTTCCCGTCCCGGTCCACCACTCCCCTCCCACACAACCTCGACCTCTCGAATACAAGGAATATACAGATACACACTCTTCGCATGGAAATCCCTATTTCAAACGGTCAAAACAGCATTCAAACTGCGACAGATCGTTCTCTTCCTCGTCGCCTGGTTTCTCCTCTCCGACGCCATAGCAACCGTATCCGGGACAGCCATCCTCTTCGCCAGAACCGAATTAAAACTAGGAACTGTAGCGGTGGCATGTCTCTCCATAACCGCCACCGTCTCTGGGATCGCAGGAGCGTTCCTCTGGCCCATGATATCGAGGGGATTCAACCTCCCAACCAAAAACGTGATCATCGCCTGCATCATAGCGATGGAGATTATCCCGATCTACGGGCTCCTCGGGTTCATCCCATTCATCCAAGACCTTGGTGTGGGTGGTATCCAACGTCCCTGGGAGATCTTTCCTCTCGGAATCGTGCATGGGTTTGTGATGGGTGGGATATCGAGTTACTGCCGTGCCTTTTATGGCCGCTTGATACCAAGCGGACGGGAGGCGGCGTTTTATGCGCTGTATGCGGTTACGGATAAGGGGAGTAGCGCGATTGGGCCGGCGGTTGTGGGGGTTATTGTTGATAGGACGGGGACTATTAGGGGGGCTTTTGTGTTCTTGGCTATTTTGGTGCTTCTGCCTGCTCCGCTGGTATGGGCTATTGATGTTGAGAAGGGAGTGGAGGATGCGGAGAGGATGGCGGGTGGAAATGGGAAAAGTGATTCGGGCGACGAGGAAACTAGCTTGGGAAGCGATGAGGAATGGGAAGGGAGTGGGGATGAAGATGAGAGGTTGATGACGGGACATACTTAGACTAGATGATACAGTATTATCGAAAAAGAAACGTTCTTGAGGAATTCTTTGGGTGTCAATTTTATGCTGCTAGGACCGGAGGGGTTGAGTTTGAGGTAGTGGATGGATCCCAAACCAACGTTGGGTTCTGCTTTATTATTGCTGGCGATTTTCGATAGAGCTGATAATGCGGATGATTTGCAGCGAGATGTTATGTAAAGTCGCCCATTTGGTTTGCAGGGTGATTTAGAGAATTTGAACCCAATTGCTGAAGTGCCGCCGGTGACAAGAGAGATGCGCCTTTCTTGGGATAGGAATGAGTCTTCTATGAATGTAAGAGAAAGAGGCAACTTTTCGGCCCATGTGTTTGGCATTTCGAGACAGGTTGGAACGAGGTTGCATTCACTCGCTTAGAGCTGTACTAGGTAGTAGTTTGGGAGAACCAGAGAGAAAAGGGTTCTCAATAGACCTGAGCAGAGAATTTATTGAGCATGTTTAAGGATCGACATAGCTTGAATACAAGTACTCCAGGTAGAAACTAGCCATTTTACTAACTTCCGCCCAATCGACTTTACTCTATGTATACGTAAGCTTTGTCACACCTTATCAGCAGATTGCATTTTTCGAGTCTTACTAATTACCAAAACGAAACTTTTCCGAAATAAAACTAGGAAAATATGAAGTCATAGACGTACATACAAATAATCATCGTCAAAGAATGCTTCGGGACAAACTCCCCGACTTTATTCTCAATTGCCCCTAGTTCGGTCAGCAAGTTGCATGACAGGGGCGAGTGTGTCAGACCCACTTCAACGGATCGAAGGGTCAGCAAGTTGCAGATTATAAACTCAGTCTTCCCCTCCAATCCATTTCAATCAATTTGCTTAAATCGATCCCGAAATTTCCAATTTACCAATGGATTGTGTAAGCATGCCAGAGACCTCACGCATTGTAGTGAGAGGTATGTTGGATGGGAAGGATTTACGCAACCTGGAGGAGGACTGGACAGGGAAAAGTAGCACTGCGGAGAGAAGGAAATTACAAAATAGACTAAACCAAAGTGCGCAGAACAAGAAACGTATAGATAAAGAGCTAACTCTCGAATAGGAAGACGTCGAGCGCAAGCTAAAGCGTTGCGCTTAGCGGCTCAAGAACCTCCCTTGGAAACACCCCCTCACAATAAGCGAACCAACGATAGTGCCATGCTGCAAGAACTTCTCATCCCAGAACAAGAGCCCGTCTGTCAAGTGCTATCCACGCATCCCTATCAAAAAGTAGAACGATGTATACACCCCGTTCAATCGGAACTCATCCGCCAAGCATCCAATGCTACGCCCTACTCGACTTACGAAACATTCGACACCTACAAACAATTCAGCATGCATAACGAACCTATTCATCGTCCTCCCCTTCCAATCGATCAATTTCTTCTACCTCTAATGCACTTCAACCTCATCCGAGCTCTTTCTCAGAATATCCACCTCCTAGGTCTCGACCCTAAATCAATGAGCGAAGATATCCTCTCACCTTTCTGTATCCAGAATCCGACTCGTAGACCACATCTTACCTCACTACTCCCCCCAGACTTACAACCTACTACGACACAAAGACTCGTTCCTCATCATCCGGAACTTGATATCCCCCCCTTTCCAGAAATAAGAGATGCGTTTATCCTCTCTCAATCCAAGTACGACGAGTTCGAACTCTGCCATGATCTCATTTTTGGCGTGGAGAGAACTGCATTTGAAGTGGGTGGGGCTATTATCGGTGATGGTACGGGATTGAGAGTTTGGAATGATCCGTGGTGCGCGGAGAGTTGGGAGGTAGGGGAAAGGTTTGCGAGGAAGTATAAGGAGCTGATGTGTGATGAGCTTTTGAGGAGTACGAATATATGGAGGGAGATGAAGGGGGAGGAACTGTTGGATTTTGGGCTGGGAAATGGATGTGTTCCGAGGATTGTTGAAGTATAAGGCTTCTACTCCTGGTTGATAAAAGAAAGTAGAGGAAATTGCATTTCTTTATCTTGCGTAAGTTGGTTTAATGCATTCAATTATTTGATGTAGTTTAGAACAATAAATTTAATTGTCCCAGTGTTTTAAGTTCATTGTTTTAATTCCTTTTTTACAAGTAGTGTAGGTAAAAAAGTCCCAAATAAGTCACGCTGGTTGAAGCATTCCCTGCCACTCGTCTTGTTCCCTAGGAGGTAAGGCTTTTTGATGTAAATCGATCATTGTAGTATAAGCAGCTCATTCTAAATTACTCACAGCTTCTAAAATATTACCGCGGTAAGCTTAGATATACATACATACATCTGTACCTCATTTTCTCAGCGGGATGCTATGATATCTGCACTAATCTTCTCCGCTAATCCATAAACAGTCGAAACTGGATGCCCAGGAGGCAAGAGAGCAAAAGCAGAAGCATCCATTACTCTTAACCCATTTACGCCAATGACTTTGCCTTTCGAGTCCACCACCGCCGTGCTATCGTTTGCTCTTCCCATCCGACAAGTGCATGCCGCATGCCAATTCATGAATAGGTTGTTGCGAATATATTCATTCAACGCCGCATCATCATCTATGCCGACAAGTGGTCCGGGAGCTGTTTCGTTGCCGATGAGAATCGGTTGCATAGCAGCAGAAGAAATGATCGCTCGTCCTCTCTTTACAGCCTGCAAGGCGAGCTCTTTATCTGTTTGCGAGGTAAGCCAATTTGGGTTGATGACTGGGGGGTCCAGCATGGAGTTTGATTGTAAAGTGACTGTCCCCCGGGATGTTGGGCTGACGGGAATGACAATAAAGGTTCCATAGCCATTGTAATCTCCCTCGATACCAGACATCCTCACGGAAGCGATTTCGTATTCGATCTCTGGCCAATCTGCGGGATACGTTGCAAGCTCCGTGATTGTTGTATTGGAAAGATTGGAACGGTATGGCTCAGGGAGCTTTTCCCAGCCGATGTAGTCTGCTCCATAAGTTCCATACATCGAGCTCAAATTGCTACGAAAAAGTTGTTTTTGTTGCTCGGCAAAGGTCAAATTTGCAAGAGTGTTGAATCCATCAACACCAACTTTCCAGGTAACTTCAATGTCGATGTGATCCCACATATTTTGCCCAACTCCTGGGCGGTCTGCGATGACAGTAATGTTTTGCTCTGCGAGAGTTTGTGCAGGCCCTACGCCCGACACCATCAGCAATTGAGGAGATTGGAATGCGCCAGCGCTAGAGATAATCTCCTTTCTTGCAGCTAAGAAGTATTCTTTTGCCCCTGATTTGACCTTGACGGAAGTTGCTGTCTTATTGTTCGAAAACATGATTTGCAAACCCCAGGTATGAGGGTAAACTACCAGATTTTTGCGATTACTGGCGAAAGCCTGTTGGAGATACGAAGTCTCTGATGTTTCCCTCTGGTTTGAACCAGGCATCAACACAGCAGGAGCGTATTGAGAACCAAGAAGCTCCCCGCCACTGAAACCAGAGACATTCCTAAAACCCAAGGAACTGAAAGCTCTCTGAACCCAGCTCGTAAATGGTAGAGCGTAGTTGGGGTGTGTAACGTGAACTGGGCCTCCATTAAACTGTGAAGAGATGTTGGATGGTATAGGCACTGTCGCATTTGCTGCCCTAAGAGTGGTGTTTGCTGCTGTGTAATTCGTACCCTTGGCGAAAAATGGTAGCCAATTATCAAATTGATATGAATCATCGCCTACGAGGCCTGCCCATTGCTGGCAAGAACCTCGAGTCCCACGGTTATACTATGGAATTTAAGTCAGCATTTATTGAGCTTGGAAAGTAGAACTACAGGGCACAAAGAACTGCCAAGGTGAAACTTCCAAATCGGAAATTCCTGAATAAGTAGTAGTGGAAATGCATACAATATTTGCATTCAATGCCGAGGAACCACCAAGTGTCTTCCCCCTAGCGTAATGAAGTGACCGATTATTTGCTCCCGCCTGAGGTGTTGTAACAAATCCCCAATCAACTGTCGGATTTGCATTTGGATCGTTAAGGGCTGCGAATTCCGGATTATAAGCTGGAACAACACTTTGGTTACCGTTTTCGATCTGATAGAAGCCGCCTGCCTCAACGACCGCAACAGTGTAAGAAGGATCTTCAGCCAGTCTCATGGCAACGGCAAGACCTGCGGTGCCTCCCCCGACGACAACATAATCGAAAGTGGCATTCTTGAAATTTCTTGTGAATGATTCTCCGGTGCCTGGATCGAAGGTATCACTGGCTGCTAAGAGATGAATGGAATTGAAAAGTAAAAAAGAATACAAAAGAGAGGGCATTTTGAATTGGTATTTGACCTTTCATACGCAACAACTCTAGATCCCCAATGCTGTGATGTTATAAATGTGAAATGAAAACGATATCTATGTTTATGTTTTGATGTAGTCGTAAAGTACATTATGACGTCTTCCGTTTCCATGGCTGAACGACGCTTTAGACCAACCACCAAGTCGAGCATTTTGTGGGGTTGAGATTTATTTCAAATCTTTTCGGGAGTGGGCTTGACTAGTTCTGAGACTATTCGTGATTTAGTGTAGCTGCTAGGGCTGTCGACCGTCCCGTCTCGATCAACAACGTTGACTAATCACTATTATTATGATCAAATAAAGACCCCGCATGTCACTCTCACCTCGGCCAATCGAAAGGCTGTGATTGTATGGTAGAAATATGATGAAGCGTATGTAATCATTGCTGAAGCTTGAAATTATAATACTGGTAAATAACGTATATGCCGAGGTGGAATGGAGAAATGGGGACGGTTATCTGGTATAAGTATAGATAATTCTGCTTCCAACTGTTAGTGGGTTTTGAGAGTATCCTCCAAATCCAAGAAGACTTCCTTACACTATTCTGTTCCAATTACGCTAGAACACATTAGTTAATTCGTTCGGGGCTTCAATCCAAGACAACAAAATAGCATCATGTCAGCCAATTCAATAGTCCTCGTTGTAGGTGGAACAGGAGCTCAAGGGGCTGCAGTTGTAGAAGGTAACCTCTCTTCACCGCAAGAATATGGGGAATGCTAACATCATTCCCAGAACTTGCTAAGAGCCCATCATATGCAATCAGAATCCTCACCCGAACTGCCACATCAAGTACAGCAACCAGACTTTCTAATCTTCCAAACGTGAAACTCTTCGAAGGATCTGCCCACCACGAACCAGACATCCACCAAGCACTAGAAGGCGTAGACATCGTCTACTGTAATACCAATGGTTTTGCCATTGGCGAAAAGGCAGAGATATATTGGGGAATCAGATTCTTTGAATTATCTCGTGAACATAACGTGAAACAGTTTGTCTCAGCTCAGGTTTCCTTCCAGTGTATTCACTAATTTTGAAATGTAGCTTTGTATGGGGTTCTCTTCAATCAACATATGAAACCAGTGGATATCAAGCCCGGTTCAGGTGCACCTCCCATGATTTATCTCGCAGACTTGGGAAGATATGCACGCTGGCTAATTGAGAACCCTGAACGTTCAAATGGAATGAACCTCAAAATCGCCACTGAACATCTTGGGTATAAAGATCTAGCGAGAACTTACACCGAAATTACAGGCCGCAGAGCAATATTCCGAGATGTCACACTTGATGAATATTTCGATTCCGGACTATTCCCCACGCCTGACGAAAAGGTTGGCCATTCGGCAGAGAAGGATGATGAAACTCTTCAGACTTATCGTCAAAACTTCACGGGATTTTGGAATACGTGGAAGGAGGATGTCGTTGTTAGGGATATGAAGCTGCTGGACGAGATCATGCCGGATAGGGTGAAGAGTATTGGAGATTGGATGAAGCTGTGTGGTTATACCGGCGAGAGAAGCTCGGTCTTGAAGGACTATCGTGATGCTACCATGCCGAAGCCTGGGAATAGTTAGATTGACAACTACTTCACGCAGGAAGGGGTTTCTTATTGATGAAATGGGGAAATACTGTAAAGTATATAACCTTGAGCCATTTTGTTACCCTTCTCGGATATAGAGATCAATTGCTCTGAATCGTTTAATGCAACCATTTCCCAGTATCCTTCCTGGTGCTTCAAGCTAACTGGAACGAACTCGAGAGAGTTGAATGTTGCCGATTTTGCTCAGCTATCGTAAGCAGGTTATGCTGAGACTCGTGATACTACGAAGCGATTGAGGCGACGAACGGCGGCAACATGTGTATTGGATCCCCTCTTTTGGCCCTAAATAGCGAACTTTTCGGATTTCTCGTTACCTTTCGTGAGATTTTCGCCCGACACGAATGATCTCACGTTGTCATTTCGTAGAATCCCTGCAAATGAGCTTGGCCAGGATCACGGGTCAACCGGAAACCTGAGTCGTCAAAGTATCTCCAATCTTTCTTAGTGCACAACAACAACCACCATCACGGCATCCTCTTCACCCAGACGCACTCACGGAGACCGTAAACCCTCCCTTCTGCTCAAAGTTCTACGCAGCATTCTCTTGGCCGGGGCGCAGCGTCGAGTCTAGTAGTCAAGTTGGATTCGCAACTGTAACGGTGCCGAGGGTGCCATCGGCGTTAAGGAGTACTGTACATCTTTCAGTAGATCCTATCTCGCTGACTCTTGACCACGCCAATATTCTTCAGTCAATCGCTTGGTCCATTCACTACAATACATCGCAAATGGCATCGAGGATCTGATTCCTCACTCATCACTATTTAATACACTCGTTTTTTGCAAAATATGATGCTGAAAAGTAGGACCTTTCTTTCCGACCTTTTGAAGCATGGCGCGTTTGGGGAACGATAATGCGAAAACTGACACCAATATAAGCCGGATTATCCCTTTCAATCGGATGACTCCTTTTATGGATCCTACCACGAGCGAACAGCAGAGTCTCGAGGAGAAAAAATCCTCTTCAGATGAGAGAAATTTTGGCCCAAGCCGTAGATTACTTATCTCGCCACTTCGACGAATTCAACGGGGCCTTGTACGAACTTCAAAACTGGTCACCAAAAACCCCGTGGTTCTCAAGATCCTTGGACAAAGTCAATTGCCACCAACGAAAGATGGTCGAAAAATTGATTTGGACGCCTCAAGAAACATCCCTCTCATCGATGAAAGGAACAAAAAAGAATATATCAACAATGCCATTCGCTCCAGTCGCTACACTCTATTAACATTCATTCCACATCAACTCTGGTTTCAGTTTTCTAAAATTCCAAATTTATACTTTCTAATTACTGGAGTTATTCAATTGATCCCGGGCCTCAGTACGACTGGAACCTACACGACAATCTTACCTCTGGCCTTCTTCTTGCTATTTACAGTTACAAGAGAGGGATATGATGATTTTCGTCGTTATCAATTGGACAAGGAGGAGAATGGGAGAGTCGTTCGTGTTCTTTACGGATTCCGACATGGCTCGACTGGAGGTCACTTCATAGCGTCATGGCTGGATAGACTGAAGTCAAGCGGAGCGAGCTTGAAAAATGTGTTGGCGAGCCAAAAATTCATGAAAAGGCCTCCCTTCAAATTTGAAGAGGAGCTTATCCAGGCTGCAGCTACCGAATCCAATCCCTGGTTCAAAGTCAAGTGGATTCATGTCAAAGTTGGTGATATTATTGAACTTGATCGGGATGAGCAAGTTCCTGCAGACATAATTCTCTTACACGCGGACGGCAGAGAGGGGATCGCCTACGTCGAAACCATGGCTCTAGATGGTGAAACTAATCTCAAAAGCCGCCATTCTCTTCATCAATTGAAATGCAATAACCTAGACGTCCTCTCGAAATCCCGAGCTCATTTTGTAGTGGAGGATCCAAATCCCGATCTATACGGATTTAGTGGAAGGGCTTCTCTGGGTGATGTGACTCTCCCACTTACCCTGAGCAATGTTATTCTTCGGGGATGTATCATCCGAAATACTACGCGTGTTTTCGGTATGGTTATCAATACAGGCGAAGAGTGCAAGATCCGAATGAACGCAAATAAGAATCCACAGGCCAAATCCCCCGCAATTCAGTCTATGACCAACAAAATTGTCATTCTCCTGGCATTGTTTGTAATCATCCTCGCTTCAGGTTGTACGGTTGGCTATGTGATCTGGGACCGTACTTTCCAAAAGAAAACTTGGTACTTGGCTAATTCCGGTCTACCGCTGCACGAAATCTGGATCGCATTCGCTATCATGTTTAACAATCTAATCCCACTTGCTCTATATGTTAGTCTTGAGCTTATCAAGCTTGCCCAATTCATTCTTCTTGCAGATATCGAGATGTATGATGAGGCGTCAAATACTCCAATGGTATCGAATACGCAGAATATATATGAAGACCTTGGGCAGGTGAACTACATACTCTCAGACAAAACTGGAACTTTGACAGAGAATGTCATGCAACTTAGGAAGATGACCATTGGAGGCGTGGAATGGAAGCACAGTAGCGAAAATATAAGGGGAAAAGCCACCGAGAAGATAATAACGAAGAATGAAAGCTTGCAACATGAGATGACAGAGATCATTGAAGATGTTTCCACGAATATCTCAGACGGCCTCAGCACTCCGAGGATAACTATCGAGGTGCCCATTTCCAAAACTACTGAAGAGACTACCCAGGTCGGAACCTTCCATGAGGAATCCTCAGACGACATTATCAAATATTTGCAGCAAAACAATTCGACTCCTCTGGCAGTAAAACTTCACTTTTTCATTCTTTCTTTGGCAATCTGTCATACCTGCTTCCCAGAAGGCGAGAATAGCGGGAAATCCGGATTCCAAGCTGCTTCTCCAGACGAACTTGCATTGGTAGAGGCAGCTCAGGATTTGGGATACCTACTCATCGACAGGACAACTTATTCGATGACTATTTTAAAGTCTCCGTTTGGCACAATTCCAGGTGATCGCCAAACCTACGAAGTTCTGAACACTATCGAATTCAGCAGTAAGCGAAAAAGAATGTCCATCGTTGTTAGGTTTCCAGACGGGAGGATTTGCCTCTTCTGCAAAGGAGCAGATTCAGTTCTTCTACCAAGATTCCGAAGTGGCTTCATGGCACAAGAAACGGCATCTCTCGTCCAAAAACGTCATTTGGAGCGTGTGAGTATGGAAGTAGAAGAGGCTTTAGCACGAAAAAACATGGAAGTTGAGTCACGGAAAAGTTTTCAGCGCTCAAGTTTTCAACTATCCCGCTCGAGTTTAACTATCGCCAGACCTGGACCACCTAAAAGAACCAACAGCAGCAGCTATTTTGGACGAAGAAGTATGAGTATTATTGAGCCTGATCTCGTAATGAAAACACCGGGAGCTACAAATGGAGGAGCCCCTAGAAGATCGATGGGAAGCTTCGCAAACGCCTTGGCAGTTCCACCTGAACGAGATGATTACTTCCAATATGCTACGCATGATCCCCATGATGAAGCAAGTACACTCGAACGGTGTCTCGAGCATATCGATAATTTTGCTTCAGAAGGCTTACGTACACTCGTTTACGGATATCGCTTCCTTGAGGAAGAAGAGTATTTGGCCTGGGAGAAACAACATCGCGAAGCCACAACTAGCTTAACGAACCGTCAAGAATTGATTGAGTCAGCAGCCGAAGAACTCGAAAAGAATCTTGATCTAGCTGGGGCAACTGGAATTGAAGACAAGCTTCAAGAAGGCGTTCCTGAGACCGTTGAAAAATTGCAACAAGCAGATATCAAGATCTGGATGCTAACAGGAGACAAACGAGAAACAGCAATCAACATCGCCCACTCAGCTCAACTATGCAAATCTTACTCTGAAATCGTGATCCTAGATGGAAGCGACAAGGGAGAAACCCTCGTCTCCAAGATGTCCGACACCATCTTGAAACTCGCTGCCAATCGCATCGCCCATTCCGTCATAGTAATCGATGGCCAAACCCTGATAGAGGTTGAAGCGAATGAGACTCTGAACGCACAGTTCTACTCCCTCCTCCTACAAGTCGACTCGGTAATCTGCTGTCGGGCTTCTCCCTCCCAGAAAGCAGCCATGGTTAAACGAATCCGGATCCTCTCTCCCAAGTCCATTACTCTAGCCATTGGCGATGGCGGAAATGATATCGCCATGATTCAAAAGGCCCACGTGGGAATCGGAATTTCTGGCAAAGAAGGACTGCAAGCTGCTCGCGTGGCAGATTACTCGATTGCACAATTCCGATTCTTGCAGCGTCTCTTGTTGGTACATGGTCATTGGCTGTACATGCGGACTGCTAAATTTATTCTCCTGACTTTCTGGAAGGAAATGTTATTCTATGTCGTGCAATTGCTCTACCAACGTTGGAATGGATATACCGGTACCTCTCTTTTCGAGTCCTGGAGTTTAGCGGTCTGGAATACTCTCTTTACATCATTGCCGGTTATGATACCAGGGATCTTTGAACAGGACCTGCCAGCGGAAACTCTACTTGCTGTTCCGGAACTGTACTCTTATGGACAGCGGAATCAAGGGTTCAACATCAGGAAATATTGGTGGTGGATGTTCATGGGTATCTCCGAAGGGGTGGGGATCTATTTCCTAATCTACGCACTGTATGGGAGACATGAAATGGGCGATCAAGGGTTGTTTGCACTAGGCAATCTGGCGTTCAGTGTTTGTGTTGTTTTCATCAATGTGAAACTCTTGTATGTATTCCCCTTCCTTCGCCTCTCGTCCCCCTTCTCAGCTGGATCTTCACTAACATTTTCATCTTCACAGAATCCTGGACTATCAATATCTAACCTGGATTCCCATCTTCTCGGCTCTCCTTACCATCGCTGGCTGGTGGGTATGGAATCTCTTCCTCTCAGCCGCATATCGCAATGCACCAGGTGTGTATAGCGTACACTCGGCTTTCATCGAGCACTTTGATCTGGCGTGGTGGTGTGTTTTGCTTGTTGTATATATGGTTTGCATGGTTGTGGAGTTGTATGTTGGGAGTGTGGAGAGGCTGTGGGATGATTTTGGTGGTTGGTCGGGAATCAAGAAGGTATGGAGGGACCGAGGAGGGGATGAAAATGGGATTGGATCGAGGATTGGATTGAAGTTGAGGTTCTGGAAGGGGAAGACAGAGGCTTAAGTGAGAGGGGGGCGTTGGATGTGTATATGTGTTCATGGGTATATACGGTATGTTTGGGATAGAATAATTCTTAATAGGTCGATAGAGATAGAGCACGTTGAGTTTCAATCACTGGACCTCCTTCCCTTGCGTCAACTTGACCTCAAGACTAGTCTCACGCTACCCGAGATCAAGGGAACACCCCCTTCGCCCTCCGAAAAACTATCTACAAGAATACTAAAATACTAGAAGAAAACAAAATAAGAAAGTCACCAACCCCTCTTCTCCAAAGTAAGGGTCCTGGTAAGTCGGAAAAGAACAGGACTTTTAGTCTTCCAAGTTGGTGTGACGAAAGCTCGAAATCTACTAGACACTTGATAAGAACATAACGCTTTATTACCCATGCTTCGTTTATGTATACTCTTCGATAACTAGGTAGGGGTAGTAAGGATCCATGACTAAATTAGTAAGACTTTATACAAGATTTACCTAGGTACCTAGGAAAACTTTCATTCTTTAGATCTGGTGATTTCGTGTAAACCCAAAGAATGATACATTGAATTGTTAGAGAAGATTTAAATACTGTAACAAGATTAATAGAACGGTCATCCTTCCAAAAACATTAAAATAACTATCAAAATTAATTCACATCAAGGCCCTATCCCATCCCCCC